TGCCCTTCCCCTCCTGCCGCGGGAGGCCCCTCGGGAGCGCAGTGGAAGCAGAGCGCGGGGCGGCCGTCGGGCAAGCGGCTGAGGACGGAGCCGAGATTCCCGGGGCTCCCCTCCTTCCTGGGAAAGAGGCTGCGATGGTGGCTCACTTAATACCCCGGGAGCTGCCCGCTTCCCCCGGCCCCGCAGCCAAGCCCTTCCGCTCCGGGCAGCTGCACCACCAGCGGCTCCGACTGAGATCCGGAGCTCCTCGCCTGCTGCCCGACGTGCGCACCATTTTCGAGCAGCCGCGGGACCCCCGAGTGCGAGAGGAGAAGGGAGAAGGACACCGCTTCGAAGGCTTTGCCCTCTGGAGGGGCTGGTGCGACCTGTGCGGGGAGGCTGTGCAGCAGCGGGCACCGCGCTGTGCCAGTAAGTCGCTCTCGCCCCCTCCCGTCCGCCCCGCTCTCAGGACCCTTTTCCTGCCTCTTTTGCTCGAAACGTGGCAGAGGCGAGTTAGGTCACAGGTCTGATCCTTCTTACTTGGATTTGGCAGGTAAAATAAACATCCTTCCTGCCAACGACAGAAGGCCACGCCGGTCCTAAGCAATATAACTGTAGAGGACCTGGTTCTTCCACTCTCCCCTTGCACCTTGTTTACTGCATCCCCTGGGGTCGGGTTGCTCTTTCTTCACAATATAGGAGTAAGTCGCTAGTAGTCAGTGGTGTTCTCTTTCACTCCCCAGAAAGGCAGACCTCTAATTCTTCCTACTTCTTTAACAGAAAACCTCCCTGATTTTGCGAGGTCTTCATCTCTAGCCAACTCTAGCTACTGCCTCCAGCACTGTGGGCAGGGAAGGCTCCTTTTGTCCCAGACTGGTGTGTGTGTGTACACTCATTTCCATATATAAGTTACTGCCCAGGGCAGGGCCTGTGTAACCTTGTTGCATCCAGTCTCCATCCTCATGAAAGCTCTCAAAAAGCCTGACAGAGAATTCCACCTTTATGGTATGTGAACTGATGTTGGTTTTAAACCAGAAAGCTTAAAAACTGCACATGTTGAAATAGCTGTTGGTGTTGATTTGAATCCCCATTTGTGTGAATGTCATCCTGCTTTGATCTCTCTTTTACAATTGGGTTGTCTTCTCTTTTGAGGATGTTCTTTAGAGGATGTCCTT